TATCCACTTACAGGTATAATGATGACGATTTTTTATTCCAAAACATGATTAAGGTCTCTGTCTTGTCACTGAAAGTTCAGTGCAGTTTGAAACATAATAAGAAAAACATATATTTTAAGTTACATAGAGGTTGGGACTTCTCAACACTATTGCAGTATACGGCCAAATCAGTTTTTAGTAGGAAAAAAAGATACTGCAACACTTAAATCCAACTTAGAAAGGTACGGGAGGGGCATTAAAGGGATAAAGACGACCAGTGATCTCAATGTAATTTCCTTAAAGCAAATCTTTTTTGTTTAACTTACAATTACAGGGGCATATAATTTTATGGCAAGAGAATATCTCTATTTTGAAGCTTAGGCTGCCACTAATTAATTTAGAAAATGATTCAAAGCAATGAACCTCAGCTTTAATACCACTTTACTTATGCCATTGATGCCGAGACACAAACTCAACACTCTCTGTGACACTGATCAATCTTAAGCAGCTAATACACCATCACTCATCATGTGTCAGCAGGTCATAATGAGCTCTTTGTTCCACAATTACGCACACCTTTACGCAACTCTTTATGGATATATGTGAATATCTTCAGCTTGTCAGCCCAACAAATCATCTCACATTGCTTGTTTTAAATAACTCTGCTGATCCACAACTTTCATGCAACTACATTTCTTTTCATTGTTTTTTAGTTTCATTACTTTTTTATGAGACACTTTGCTTAATAATTAATATTAAACACATAAAAGCTCAAACTCATGAAAAATAAAAAAAATAAAAACATCAACGTTGGTGCTCCTTGTGTTAAAACTGATTAGGGTCATATTTCATTACATTTAGGGGTTTTGGTGCTTTATTACTTCTGAATTCAAAAGTGTGTGTTGCTGCTGTTCATTTTCTAAACAGGTTAAATGTACATTAATTTAATTTGTGGCTACATATGTTGCTCTTGAAAAATTTCAAATCAAGTATTTTGTTTTTTTTCAGTATCCAATTCTAAGCATATTCCAACTACCTGATATTTTTGGAGTTTATTAATGTGATTATGCCTTTTAAACAGATTACATGTTAAAACATTTCACATTAGCACAGGTTTAATTTAATATTTCTCTGAAGGATAAATGGTAAATAACCACATGATGCATGTGATGACAACCACTTTTGAGATAACAAAAACAACAAAACATCATAACATCAAATAAAGGAATAGATCTATAAAGACTGACCTTAATTACTTCTTATCAGATCGAGAAAGCGAGGGGGAGTTAGGAACTGGCAGCTGCTCCTACAGGCTCCCGCACAACTTTGACCAGCTGCTTGTATGAATAAAATAAAATAAGTAAATAAACAGGAGGGATGCAGTATATAAACACTGACTTTTGTGGCCTGCATTTATTTTTCATGTCAAAAAGTTATGAATGAAAAATATCTTAATCTAAAGGGCAGAGGCATAGCCAGACATTTTTTCATAAGGGTGGCCAGGCAATAACCAATGTAAACTGAGGGCTGGCCGAAAGTTGATAGGCACCAGACCCTCAGGGTCAATCTACAACAGGAAAATTAATGGGAGCAACATCTATATCTTTAAAATAAAGACTAACTATACTTTTCTACAACCTTTGCTAACAAATAGACACATAAATATTTAAACATCTGTGCTTTCTAGATGAAAGGTATAGTGGATACAATTCTTTGAGGTTTGAGTTTTGGGGGAACCATCTTTTCCACTGTCATTACTTACCTACTTTTATCAATAATCATTCAGCATAAAATTGATATTTACAAGTACTAATTTCTACATAAATTGATTATTTAATACATTTTATTAAAATATCTATTTATCAATAATTTAATGGAAGACTCTTAGATGACTTGCAGAGACACATAATTTTCTCTTAAATACAAAATGTAGTTCTGAAAAGAGCATGAATTCTGTACTTCTCATCTTAAATGTTAGTATAATGATGTGTATAATTAACCACATAGTTTTTGTTGTCAAGTAATTGTTAATATATAAAAATAATTTAATGTTTTAAATATTCCACTTGAGTATTACTGCTGCCACCACCTGTATTAGAAAGAAAAAAATGGTAGGGGGGGCCACTGATTGGCTAAGGGTGGCCACCCCTGGCCCTCCATCTAGCTCCACCCCTGCTAAAGGAGTCCGTGGCCCGCTGCTCTCAGGTGTGTTGTAGACCCGCCCTTCTACTTAAAGCGGATGTAAACGTATCTTTGCTTTAGTGTTAGGTTTACTCAGCCTCTTTAGAGTTTGGGTTTTTGAAGCCGTCATGTCGTCGACGATAAAGAAGATAGGAATTACTTATAACTCTATAAATGCCAGCAACACTTTTACTAACGGAGATGTGGTTTCTGGTCAGGTAGAGGTGGAATTAGCCAAAGACTGCCAGATCGAGTCATTTTACATCAAGTTCAAGGGGAAAGCTGAGGTACTGTGGTCGGAAACTTACGGTCAGTCCACTCAGGTTTACCACTCCAAAGAAAAGTACTTCACCTTGCGGCACTACTTCATAAAAAGCAAGAACAGCACGGGTAAGCGGCGGAAATTAACCTATAATTGGCCTTCTCTCTCATGTTTTAATAAATGTATTTTTATTTTGTTTTCTAAAATTGATGGATAGATATTATCAATGTCCATCTTCTGTTTGTTTCTTTTTTATATAATGGACATTGAATCTCTTGCTCAAAGGGGAAAAAAACAAAACAATAAGGAGGCCTGTTTATTAATGTTGTTCTCCTAAGCGGCCACTATTCTGATCCCATATTGTGACTGTAGGGGGCGCTGATTCTTCTGTACACATTGATATGTCTAAAGTAGCTCATACTCTATTGATAAATGTTTGGCAGCTCTGCAGAAACTGTAGGATGGGTAAAGCAAGAGCAGCACTGCTTTAATATGTTTTACTCCAGTAAAAGTGAAATTAATTAAACAAGAAATTGCTCAATTTGAAAAAGTACTTGGAAAAATTTTTTTCTCTAAAATTGAGTAACTGATTTTAATATTTAAAATTCTGTTATCAGACAGACAGTAATTCGCACATCTGGGTATTTTAACTTTTATTTTTAGAAAAATGTAAATAAAAAAAGAATGATTATGAAATAAAAAAATGGGTAAGTAGAAACTTCTTTTTCAAATCAACTTTTCAAAATAAATGGATGAAACCAATATTTAAAGTAGGTAATGCATATATGCAAGCAAAGGATTAAGAACCCCTAGCTACAATATCAGCTCTTTGTTGCACATTTCCCCTGATCTCCAATAGTTCAAGTCACTAGTAGAGGGGAGGGGAACCAGAAATTTAACCCGACTATGTGTAGCCATTTTCTAAGAATATTACTTGGGTAAAAGCAAAAAGCACAGTCAAGTACATATACTCCATCCATCCATCCATCCATTTTCTAACACGCTTATTCCAAGTGGGGTCGTGAGGGGTGCTGTTACCTATCTCCAGCTGTCTACAGGCGAGAGGCAGGGTACAACCTGGACGGGTCGCCATCCATTGCAGGGCAACACAGAGACAAGCAGAACAAACAACTATTCACACCCACACACTCACACCTAAGGAGAATTTAGAGAAGCCAATTAACCTAACAGTCATGCTTTTGGACTGTGTTTTCAGTTCTTTGCACAGATTCTGAATCAGATTCAGGTCTGGACTTTGACTTGGCCATTCTAACACCTGGATATGTTTATTTGTGAACCATTCCATTGTAGATTTCACTTAATGTTTTGGATCATTTTCTTGTTGGAAGATAGATCTCTATCCTAGTCTCAGTTCTTTTGCAGAGTCCAGCATTTTTTCTTCCAGAATCATCTTTGTATTTTGCATTGTTGCCAAAAAGTTCAATTTTGCTTTCATCTCCCAGAGCTCCTTTTTCCACATATGCCTTTCTTCCATAAAGGCCGGATGTGTGCAGTATAAACACACCTCTGAGACTATCACAGAGCAGATGCATTTATATGGAGACTTTATTACACACAGATGGATTCTATTTATCATCATCAGTTATGTAGGTCAACATTGGATCATTCAGAGATCCTCACTGGACTTCTGGAGAGAGTTTTCTGCACTGAAAGGAAAGGGGCCGATAATGTTGCATGCTGCATACTTCAGTTTTTAATTTGTTTAAAAAGTTTAAAATATCCAATAAATGTTGTTCCACATGATTGTTTCTCACTTGATTCTTCACAAAAAAATACAATTTTATATCTGAATTTTTGAAGCGTTTAATGTGCCAAAAGATCGAAAAGTTCAAGGGGTGCAAATACTTTCGCCTTAGGAATGCACACAAAGATAATATATATTCAAAAGCAGTCGTGTGAATTTCCGCTTATGTGTGAAGTTGATTGCTTTTAATTTCTTGCAATTGTGACTTCTTTCCAGATGACCAGCAAACACTGATCACAAATGAAAGTGGAGCAACCTGTAAGTAATTGTATTTCTCTGTCATGCTCATGTTTGTTCCTAACACCTCAAATAAGACATTGAAGTGTCCTATCTTTATGTAATAATAGCTCAGACAACCTTTTTATTAGACTTGAATTTAGTTGAAAAAATGTCTGTGCTTGCGTACAAAAAGAGAGGTACATTGTATATGGACTCACAGTGGTTAATAGCTGAAAAATAACTGCGGTAAAGCTAGCCGCCTCTTCGAAAATAACAGTAAAGCCAGCCCGCTCTCGATTTTCACATGCACGACAGCTTAAGACATTATGGTACCGCCATTTACGTGCTACTTTCACAATGAAAGCGCGCATCCGGTCCATGTTTAATCTACTGGAAATAGATTTACAACGGCTTGGAGTTTTAGACTTTGTATCACAATTACCTGTTTAAATCAGGCAGACCAAACTGATTTCACATGACTTACCCTTTCCCCGCAATATTTGTAGAGACAGCAATTTGCCCGCTTTGTGGACACCGGATGTTTTTTTTGTGGTCATAGATTTAAAAAAAGTGCTTTTTAAATTGTCTTTTATTTTGAAATGACACATCAGATTTTGTTGTCAGTTTGTGGTTGTGTTCTAGAGGTGTCCCTCTGTCAACCAGATGTGATTGAAGTCTCTGGAAACAGAGTTTTCCAGCAATGGGCATGGCAACTTAGGTTAAAAAAGTGCTTTTTTAATTGTCTTTTATTTTGAAATGACACATCAGATGTTGTTGACAGTTTGTGGTTGTGTTCTAGAGGTGTCCCTCTGTCAACCAGATGTGCTAGAAGTCACTGGAAACAAGAGTTTTTCAGAAAAAAGCACGACAACTTAGGGTAAAAAAAGTGCTTTTTTTAATCGGCTTTTATTTTGAAATGACACATCAGATCTTGATGACATTTTCTGGTTGTGTTCTAGAGGTGCCCCTCTGTCAACCAGATGTGATGGAAGTCACTGTAAAAAGAGAGTTTTCCAGCAATGGGCACGGCAACTTAGGTTA